CGTCCACTTTTTTACAAAATTTTTCTTGAAAAAAAAGTGAAGGGTCAACAAGAATATGTGAGATTCTTCTTATAAATTTTACAGTTGTATAGTCCAGTTTCCAAGTATTTACTTGTTATTTTTGCCCAGAGACTTTGCTCTACTTGCTTCTAGAATAAACCTTCTAGTTTGGATATCAAACATGCAAGAAAGTCTGTCAAGAAGAAAAAAACTTGATCCAAGGCACAAATCTGCCTAATATTCTTATATGCCTGCTCTTCGGTGTTTCACGTATTGTAAGCTTCATTGACAACAAGTTTGCTTAGCACAAAACCAAGAATATTGCTATGTCTACTATGTTGCTTTCCTATATTGCTGACTGTAGTTCAGTAAATTGTTGTTAACTAAGTAATCATTAGAAAGAGTTTTTGACTATTATTATTATTATTAACATGATTAATATTATTATTATTATCATTACTATTTTTATTCTTGCAACATTTTTATTTTGAAAAATTTTTGTGAGAATATTTTGTTAAAACTTATCATTATACCCAATATTATACAAATTTTACCTTCAACAATTATTATCTAAATATGGTATTTATAATAATCAAAAATAGAACAATTGGAAAATTTTATATATTACCAATTGTAGCAGAGTGATAAAAATCTGTAACTATAGTCAGCAGCCATAGGTTCAATATCTGCTAATGGACTGCAAACTTTGCCGACAGGTCATAATTATAATATCTGCACTACAATATTTTTTTTATAATTTTTATAATTTTGTGAAGCAAAATTTTTCAAGAAGGAAATAGTGTTATATTAGTAGATTTTATTAGTATATTTTATTAGTATAATTTATATTTATTATATGTTTATTTTTAGCTTTAGTTTAATAGTAAAATTTTTGACAAATAGTATTAATTTTAGTATAATATTAGGTACGTTAACTGGTACATTAACAGGTATATTAATTGGTACATTAACTGATATATTAACAGGTACATTAACTGATACGTTAACTGGGTTATTAAATGGATTGTTAATTAGGTTGTTAAAAAGATCATTAATTAGGTTGTTAAAAGAGTTATTAACTGGGTTGTTAACTGGGTTATTAACTAGGTTGTTAACTGGGTTGTTTACTAATAGTCTAAAAGATATAAAAACCTTGCCTTTTCCCCAAAGGCAGAGCAGACTGTCTCTTTCCTACTTTAATTTCTTGTTATTTATAGTTTATTTTCTTAGAAGTGTAGCTATCACCTACCTTCTTTTTATTGTGTTTAATAAAACTTTTATTGTGTTTTTATTATATATTTAAAGTAGAGTTTTTCTTCTTTGAGCATTTATTTTTGTTATATTGAATTAAGCCATCGCCTCTTCTCCTTTTTCTTGAGTATTTTATTGTGTTTTAGGATTAGAGCCATCACCTTTTTTCTTTATTTTTGGTTTATTGTTTTACTTTAAAGTTTCTTTTTGTTTTCTTTCTTATTTTATTCTTTTTTTGTTTGCAAACACATTTCTTAACCCTCTTATATGTTAAGTTAAGTAGTATAGCTTTATTAAGACTCTGTATTGCTATATTATACTATAATTTTATTCTTATTTCTTTTAAGTATTAAATTTTTTTTAGTATTGCTTATAACTGTAATTTTGTTTTTATTTTTTTTAAATATTAGATTTTTTTTTGATACTGCTTATAGCTATAATTTTATTTTTATCTCTTTTAAGCATTAGATTTTTTTTAGTACTGCTTATAGCTATCTTGTTTTTATCTTTTTTAAATATTCAATTTTTTTGGTGCTATTTATAACTTTGTTTTGTTTTTAATTTTTTAAGCATTAGCTTTTTTCTTTAACACTGTTTATAAGGTTCTTTTTTGTTAGTGCTGCTTATAACTTAGGTTTAGTTTTATCTATTTTAAGTATTAGATATTTTCTTTAGTGCTGCTTTAGTCTGATTTTACCTATCTTAAATATTGGATCTTTTTTGACACTGCTTATAATTCTAATCTTAGTTTTTTTTTAATACTGCTTATAACCTCTGTTTGGTTTTATCTACCTTAAGTATTGAATCTTTTTTTTGGCACTGCTTATTACAAGAGTATATATGATAATAACAAATACAAATACAAAAAAGCAAATATAAAGTATATAAGCTATTATCATAGTAATCACTCTTGTTTAAATAAAGATTAATGTATATATGGAGTTTTTGCTTTGAAAATTACTTTTTGTCATTTCTAATTAGATTAATTCAGACAAAAATAAATCTAAGTATTGATTTATATTTATATATTAATTATTTTTTAACTTTATTAATTCAATAGTTTATCTAATTATTATTGAATCAATAATAGTAAAAGATGATTAATATATAAATATAAACTGGTAATCAGGTTTATTTTTATTTGAATTAACCTAATCAGAAATGTCAGAAAGTGATTTTCAAGGCAAAGACACTATATGCTAATTTATTATTATTTTTTTCATATAATAAAATACAAATTAAATATCATAAAATTTTTAATAATAATTAAATACATGATTTTAATAGTGTATTAATTAGGGTATAGCGACTTGGTGTAGTTGGTAAGTTGTTGTACCTCCAAGCAGCAGGTCTAAAGTTTAAATCCTACCTATGATGAAATTTGAAAAATATATCTGTGTTATAGCAACTGCTTCTATTATATGGGGTTAGACACCTGTAATGCAGTTGCACCAACTTGTTTAGAAGATCAAAGTATCTGTATTATATAGAGAAATGTAAACTGGTATTGGGCAGTGCAAACCCAAGATACATTCTTTGGCCAAAAATAGAAATCTGTGTATAAAAAGAGCATAAAAGCATAAGCCTGTTTAAGAAAACCTGAATAAGAGATAGTGAAAATCTTTGATAATATTACAGGAAATCAGAATTAAAAACCGAAGAACCAGATGAAAAACCTTGAGGCAAGAAGGGTCCATCAACCTGGCTGCCAAAGTTATATTGAAGGAAAAGTCCTATATTACAAAATTAGAAACTAAGGAAAGTATTGTTGCGGCTAAAGCTAGAAATGGCTAAAGCTGTAAGTTTTAAATATTTAATATAAAATTTTCAAATTTTTTTAAAATGCATTTTTTAGCTTTTTTTTTATGATTAAATTAAGATTTAGAGTTAGCTTTGATAATGAAAGAGTATAAATAAATTTGGCAAGGTTTTATTTTTAAATTAGGGTTTCTGATTTTTCACTTCAGCTATTTCTAGTATTGGCCATGACAAGTATAAACATAAGATACTTAAAGTTCAGATATAATGACTCATCTAAGCTAACTGGTTTAGTAGTTAGGAAGGAATTGGTAATAGAACTGGTTGAATGCAATATTAGAATTAAAATAAACTTTGCAAGAGTATAAATACTGGAATTATATATTTAACAATTAGCTCTGACTACTAGTGGTGTTTTTGGCTGCTACAGAAGGTATTTGAAAAGCCTAGTTTAAAAATATGTAGAACATATATAGAAGGATTAGAGGGCTTTGCTACACCCATCTGTAAAAACCTATAAATAACCAAAGTAATCTAGTTCAGATAAATAGGATAGCAGGTGACACTTCAGTATAAAAATATTTAGTTTAAAATAATTGATAGATATATAAATACTAAAATATAAACCCATGTAGTTAATAACAAACATCAATAAAGCTTGGTCCTAAAGAACACCTTAACAGAAAAAAAAAAAATAGTATATTGATTTACAACTTCTATGTATTAGATCTAATCTAATGCACATCAGATAACTATTAACAGATAACTTGTGTTATCTGAAAATCAGCATCTAATATGTATCAAATTAGAATCAATACAAGAATATATTTGAAGCACAACATATTTAATATATTGGCAGAACACACATTTTTAAAATAAAGATTGTTGTATTTGATTATACTATGATTACATGCTTCTGCGCTGTCATTTTGCATTACAGTTTGTTTTTAGATTTCACAGTATATACAGTAGCAGATAGTTTAAGATATTCAATTTTATTGGTTGTTTTAAAAATGATATAACTTGACAAAAAATTATTAAATTAAAAAACTCTCTTATATATTAATAGTTTATAACCAAAACTATATTTTTATAAAAGAATTTTCTTTTATTTTTATTTTTTATAGTATTATAACTAGTGTTGACAAATAGAACAATAGAACAAAAACTCAATTTTTTGATTTTATATAAAAAAATTTTTTTAATAATAATTTGCAATTATTTAAATATATATTGTTAGAGCATTAGTAATGTAATAAATTTAAAATATTTTTATATTTAATTAGTAAAATTTAATACTCAAAATTTACAATAAAAAAATAAAAAATAAATAAAATTAGAAGCCAATAGAAAAAACAAACGTAACAACCCTGTTTAAACTTTATTATTTTATACATATATAAATCAAAATTTGGCGCTGATCTACATGCATAAACATGCATAAGCCAATAAAAATTAATTATTTTTGTGTTACATTATCCTAAATTTGCATTTTAGTAAAAAGTTGGATATCTTATAGTGCTTTATCTAAATTTGGCGCCTTTTTAATAATACTAGGTTAACAGAATCTGTTAATGTCCGAAGCAAATTACTGTATACATCATAGTGTAGCAAATAGATCACGTGTAAAACATCCGGACATTTTGATCAAAGTAAGTCTAGTAGTAGAGTTATAGCCAATCATAGTGTAGCGAATAGATCACGTGTGGGACATCCGGACATTTTGTATAGTTTTACCCAATAATGGTTTAGCAAATAGATCACGTGCGGGACATCCGGACATAGTGATCACAGTAAGCATAGAATGTAGGTCCTTCGCTACGCTCCGGACAAAAATAAAAAGTGGATATCTTATACTGTCCCCCACTGTATAAGTATAAATGGGTTTTATTATCGTTATGATCCGCACAATAATTATTAACAATAATTAACCTGCTAGTAATTACTAAATCCTTGATTGATTTGGTCGAAACGCTTTGTAAACCAAAAATTTACAAAACATCAATAATGTTATATCCAATGTTACTACTATTCGTACCCAAATATTTTGGTCCAACTCTAATATACAATGCATCCTCATTAACCAAAATGTCATTGTAATCTTTAACCTCATCATCAAAGACAAAATAAATCCTTTTAGTTTTCACAATATCAACAAAATTATCTCTAACCATATCATCTTTAACAATATTCGCAACTAAAGATTCAAAATATGCAAAAACGATTTCACCTAATTTATTTTTAATCCATTTACCATCATCATCCGAGTTTTTCTTTGCAGTTTCAAAGATGTTATCAAAATCAACTACAAATTCTATTTCATCATGAACAGCTTCTTTAAGTTTTTTTTTTAGTGTAGGAATCTTCATAGTCCATTGATCGCGAATATTTACTTTGGTGATTACAGGAAGCACAGAATCTGGCGCGTGAAGTCTTTCAACTATATCATAACCAGGTGATGCATTAGTGCCAAATCTAGCAGGATTAACCATAATGTACAGACCACCATTATTTATCTTAACATCATGGTAATCTTCGACATCAACATCCATTACAAGATGGAAATTTCTTGTATTAGTCAAATCCAAGAATTCTTGACGAATCAAATCATCCTTTGTATAATCTTCTATATATTTAATCAATGAACTGAAGTATTGTAAGGTGATATTCCCCAAGCTTTTAGAAAACCAATCAGTGTTATCTTCATTTGCTTTAGAGACCTGCATATAAATTTCATCAAAATCTATTTTAAACTGATAATCTTCACCCAAGCACTTATTTAGTTGTTTCTTGAGACTAGGAATTTCCTTTTCCCATTCATCTCGAATACTTTTTTTTGTCCTTAAAGGAAGAACATCATTCGGATTCTTAATCACATCAATAATATAATAGCCAATAGATGAATTTGTTCCTAATGATTCAGGTTTAACTTTGATATAAAGTTCACCATCTTTAACTTCAATGGCATTATAATCATTTATATCATCATCGTAAATGAAATAAAACTTTTTGGTATAAATAACATTAACCAATTCCGATCTAACCAAATCATCCTTTTTAGCGTATTCATTTATATATTTTATTAGAGATTCAAAATACGCGTATACAATTTCACCTAATCTAGAAGATAACCAATTAGAGTTATCTTCATTTGCTGAAATTGCTTTTAAATAAATATCTTCCCAATCGATCACATATTCATAATCCTCTCCCAAAACCTGTTTGAGAGATTTTTTTAGTGAAGTTGTTTGTTTCTCCCAACCGTCGCGAATATTCGTTTTTGTAATTAAAGGTAATATTTCATCTGAAGATTTCAATAATTCTAAAATATTATAGCCAATATTTCCAGTGTTGGTACCGTAATAACAAGGTTGTGTTTTAATATAAATATTACCATCGGCAATCGAGACTTCATTATAATTATCTTGAATATCTGGATCAGTAAGATGAATTTCCCTATTGTTGGTTATTTTAACAAAATCGGAAAGAACCAAGTCATCATTTTTGGTACCCTACTAATATTGGAAATTAAAGAATCGAAATATTGAAAAGCAATATTTCCTAAATTTTTTGTTATCCATTCATTATTTTCGGGAGCAGCTTTAACAGTATTAGCATGAATTTTACTAAAATCCACAACAAATTCATAATCATATCCTGTAATAGAATTTAAATTTTTCTTAAATTCTGGAATTTTATTCGTAAAGTCATCTCGAACGCTTTTTCTTGATGCAAGCGAGAGACCGTCTGTAATAATTGACATATTATCGATAAGAATATAAGAAAAAAAAAAAAAACCAAAAAATCATGAAATAATTGTAGCTCTTATTTTTATTATTAAAATTTACTAAATTTACTGCACTTAATTTACACCATTTACACTTAATTTGACACGTAAAAACAAATCTTAATGAAGGTAATCTTATGTTACACGAATCGTGAGACAAGAAAATCTCGTACGTATATATGCGTAAAATGAGCGATCGTAATAATGCTTTGAATAATTTGAATAAATTTTAAAATCTTGGAAGATCGCCAAAAAAATATCATTACAATCATGAGTTTCTTTAACGCAAATGTACCAAGTGGTTCCTGGGGGAATATGTTGAAACAAGCGATGAATACTGTTGAAAGTAAATTTGATAAAGCTCTTGACATAGGAGAAAGTATGTGTTTAGTTTCTAGGCCCCAGTCAATCGCACCTGTGATCTCTGATATTTGCTTAAATGCTGATTGTCAATCATGAATAGGTAGCGTATACCAAGGAGAAGTATATGTGGATCCCGTTACTGGTTTTGTGACAACGCTTGATCCACCAAGTATAAGTTCACAAAATGTAACGAAGACGACGCAAAACAAAGGATCACAAAAACCAGTGTCGACCATTGGTAACTTACAAGATTCAGAATCAAAAGAATTAAGGACAATACTTGATAACATAATAGAACAATCAAAATCTTCGAAAAATGAATTAGAAACCGAGAGTTTAACATCCGTCCACACTAACAGTGTTATTTCAATTAGTTCGGATGCACAATCTCGAGAGTTCGATGGTATTGACAGTTCTAGAACATCTAATGATTCAAGAGCATCAGAAGTTGAGTCTCAATTGACAACTGATAATTTTCAGCATATAATTGAGCAACGAGAGCGTCAATTACTTAACGCAGCCGAACAAAATGCATTATTGAATAATACGATAGAACAACTTAAAATACAAATACAAGAATTAGAAGAAGCTAAGAACTCTCAATCAAAAATAATCAAAGATCCTGCTGAAGAACAAACAGAAACTGATTTACGAAATGAAGCAAGCATATTTTTAATTTAATATGTAAATTGTATAATTTATTGGCAAGATGATAATTTCTCTTTCGTTCAGATTCGTGAATTAAGAGCTACTTTGGTACGGGTTGAAGAGCAAGCTGGTCTTCGTGAAGATAATTTACGGAATGAAATTCTGGTATGTTATCTGCATGATAAATATATATATATATATATATATATATATATAATTAATTTTTAATCATTCGCTTTAAAGGCATTACAACAACGATTACAAATAGCAGAAAATTACGCACGAGACTCGACGTCAGAAGAATGGGAAATAGATCGAATTCAATTACTCAAACAGATAGAAGATGTGAAGACACAATATGCATTATCGGTCAAAAGTTGGGAAAAAATTGAGCATAAGTTTGTGAAATATTTAATAGTTTAATTTGATTTATATATTTCATAATTTGTAAATACTTAATATTTGAATATATTTCGCAGTCTTACAATACGGTTGACCGAAATGGAAGCTGAACGTGATCGATACATTGAAGAATGTAAAAAATTGAATTCCCGATTAAGAGAATTGGTAAGGAAAAACTGATTTATGTAAATTTGCTTTTTTAAAAAAGATTATAAATATTAATACTAATCATCTCACATTATCTCAATTATCTCAATTATCTCAATTATCTCAAATTATCTCAACTATCTCAGATGTCACAGTCTGAGCAAAAAGAACTTGAGCTTATCGCAGCTCAACAAAAAAATTCACAATTAAGTGAGGAAATAGAATCACTTAATGCTCGAATTCCAACCTTACAGAGTGAGATTGAAACTCTTACATCAAATCTTGAATCGTCCGAAGAATGCCATCAAAAAAGTCTAAAAGAAATAGAAGAACAATATCGTTGTATATTACGACAAACACTTGAAGAAAAACAGGATGAATGGGAAGAAAGACTACGATCAGAGCAAGAAGTCAAATCAAAGGAACGTGAACAGGAAAAACTATCAGTGAAAGTGGATTCTATTAGGGGTAGCCCTATAAGATCAGCAAGTGAAACGCAATTGAGTTCGTTACGTTCCGTAAGTGAAATACATTTAGAGAAACATACAGAGGGAGGAGTACAATCACCAATGTTAAAAAGTCCAACTTCAAGTCTTAGATCTAGTAGGTCCAGCATTGATGGTGGATCTAGCATAATAAGTAATGTTATAATGACCGAGAGGTTGAATTCTTCTATAAGGTACTTGAAAGGTCAAGTTAGCACGTTACAGGCTCAACTTTATCTTACAACAAAAAATAGAGGTGAGCTAATCTTATCATTGGTCTGTTTGCTAGTAAATAATGAATATTGAACAAAATTTTGATTTGGCAAATTAGACGAATTAGCAGATGAACTTGTAAAACTAACCACACAGATAGAAGATCTGTATGTATAATTCCTGATAAAGTCAATTTATTTTTTCTACTGAGCATTGTCTTGATCCAGTTTTATATTTATAAATAGCTCTTTGAAATCCGGAAAAGCAACTGAGTTGGAACAACAATTTTATGAATTAAATGAAAGGTATGCTGAATATGTTAAGACTTTTTTTTTTTTTTTTATCTTTTAGTCATTCTAAAAAGAATAATCTTTTTGTAGATATAATACTGCGCTAGAATTATTAGGCGAAAAGACGGAACAGGTGGACGAATTACAAGCAGACATTGAAGATATGAGAGATGCATATCGTAGCCAAATAACAGATCTAACTGCTCAACTAGAAAAATATAATAATTCATAATAATTCATCATATTTAATAATTTTAATTCTCAGCTTCATTTGCCATTTTTAAACTATCGTTGATTCCAAACCCTTATTTTAGGAACAGGTTTCATTTGTGAATTGGCATTAATTCCGCCAAGCTTTAATATCTTTGTATTTAATTATGATAAACTTTCAATGCATTTACGATCAACTTGATCTCAAATATTTTCATTTTTCATTTTACTCAAAAATTACGACGGAACATTTCTGGAAACATTATTGAAATTAATTTATACTACGTTATGCAATCAAATATTAGTGAATTTTTATTATTAAGGAAATAGAAACAGCGATTTAAAAGCATAGGTTAGCCAAACATTATTTTAATGGTTCTGGTGGAGTAACTTCCCTTTTTTCCAAAACTCTATCAACCAAGCCAAACTCTAGAGCTTCCTCAGCAGTCATATAATAATCTCTTTCAACAGCAATTTCTAATTAAACAAATTAAAATGTTTAATAATAATAATAATAGCAAATAAAAATCATAATGAATTATTACCAATTTCTTCCATTGTATGTTTATTACAATGTTTTTTATAAATTTTATTTAATCTTTCTCTAACTCTTAATATCTCTTTAGCATGAATAGCAATATCAGTTGCTTGACCTGATGCACCGCCTATTGGTTGATGTATCATTATAGTAGAATTTGGAAGTGTATAACGTTTTCCTGGTTCACCTATATAATAATTTTACTGCAAGTAAATAAAATATCCCAATAAAATGTAATAACCGATGACATTACCTGCGGCCAAAAGTAATGATCCCATTGAACACGCTTGACCATTGCAAAGTGTTGATACTGGTGATTGAATGTACTATTTAATGGAACATTTTATAGAATTCGTTATAACTTTTAATGGAAGTATAGTTAATATCAACCTCTTATTAAGAAAAAATCGGTTCAGGTTATATAAAAACTATTCCGTTGTTATCAACCCTCATATGTCAACACAATTGTCTAATCCAAATGGGTTGATATTAATGAGGGTTGACTGTATATTAAAATTAATTATTACCTGCATCTATTCATTTTTTTTGATAAAGTCATATGAGTACACATCAACCATTACTCAATATATATAATATATATTTAAAAAAAAAGGACTTACAGTATCATAAATAGCCATACCGGCGGTTACGGTACCACCAGGACTATTAATGTATAAGCTAATCGGTTTTTCTGGATTTTCGGCTTCAAGAAATAGTAATTGAGCTACAACTACAGCCGCTACACTATCGTCTACCTTTAATATCAAGAATATGGGTTTTCACTCGAACAATAAATAAAGATAAAATATATATATATATGTATTTGATATTTTATTTACATGACCATTCAAGCATACGATCCTTTCTTTTAAAAGTCTAGAAAATATGTCATATGAACGTTCGCCTCTTGACTATTTAAATATTTGATTAAAAAAAAAATGATATAAAAACTTGCGGTATTAAAAAAAAAAAGTAGAAATTATTTACCGTTTGTTCAACTACAAAAGGTATTAAAGCATGAGCTTTAACAGGTGACGATTGTCGAGTTAAAAAGCCTCTAGCAAAGTGTCGTATGTCAAGGAACTTTTGACCAAATCTAAAAGTCATAGGAGGAATCCATGTGATTGGCTATTTAACTAACCTTATATCTGATTGCATCATAGGGCGTTGATTGGCTGATGTAAATCAACCGTGAGATAATTTTAGAAAATACTGTATGCATAGAAAGTTTTAAAAAATCAGGTAAATAAAATACGTAGAATTAATAAAATTCATTACAAACTAGTTTTTTGTTATATCGATATGCATACAATAAACTTAACGTTAACATTAAACCAAAAAGTCATTTTAGCAGTTCTTACAATCCAGAATCTAGAGATCATATTGAATTTGTCTCTTAATGTTCAGTTTAATCTTTCAGTTGCACTTTCGCAACTTGTGGTTGACAAAATATATACAGTACAAAGTGATATACTAACCTAAATGAACTATTTATGAGAGCTAAAGAATATAACAATGGTTCCCTTTAGACTATATATATTTCCTTTACTCAAAGCGAAACTTTTTACTCGATTAATCTTGAACGTTTCAACAAAATTGTTTTGATATAAAATTTTATAACAAATTTATTATTTCTCTTGTCAAAAAAATATATCTTAAATAAAGGCACCAATCGCCACCATAAACTAACAACTATCTACTAGCGCTAATGAATTCCCGACTTTTTGAGTAAAAGATAATCTATTGGCATCACCCATAGATCAAGAAACTAATATAAAAAATCGAGTAAATACATTGTTATTAATGGTACAGTAGATACTTATTAACGGTGTATAAATTGAAATCCAATAGATAAACCATCATAGTGATTAGTAAGAAAATTCATGCAATACATAATCAAGATTCAAGAATATCCATGGAATTATTTTTAGAATAAAATAATTTTCTTCATTTATTTCAAGTTTTTTTTCAATTATAACTCGTTTACTATTTTCCATAAAATATAATCCAGAATAAACTTACGAAAAAAAAAATGAGAATTTCACAGTCTTTATTAAATGTTTCATTTGGATATTTGTTAGTTTGTATCCCATCATTATTTGCATCTGACAATAGTTGGTTCAACTTGCCAAGTTTTTTAAAATTTAATGGAATTGGATCTGGAAATGCTAAATTGGATGAGGCATTCCCCGGATTAGAAGATAGTGATTTATCTGGTAATTTTCATATTTTTTTGGATTAAAAAAATTTTTAAGTCATTAAAAGTCTATATTCTTTATGTCATTTTATTTAATAAAGCTTGGGCAGAAAATTTCTTGAAATTATCAAATGAAGAAAAAATGATTGTTGAGCGTGGACATGGTATAATTTTATATAATTTTATATACAATCCCTCATAGAAATCTGGTTTTTCGTATTCTTAATATTAAAGTTAGTAATTTTTTTTTTTTTTAAAAAAAAAATAAGCTGCATTAATTCAATTTGAAAAAAAGCAAAATTGTTTTAAGGATGCTGCTTCAACATTAAGACATGGTTGTAGAAATATTGATATTTCTGATAATGATAAAATCAAATGTAAGTAGTTTCCTTTCCTAGATCATAAGAGATTCATATTAGAATTAAAAAAAAATTCTAATTTTGAAATTAGACGCGGTACGATTGACAATGTGCGAAATCGCAACGGCCAATCTCGTTGCTCCAATGGAATGTAATGATATTCAAGACGTTGGAACTTGTGTAGAGTATGTTTCGTGAACATTCATTATGAATAAATATTTGTAAAATTAATATGTACTGTATGAATGTAATTTATAGAGCTCTGGCACGAATTCCTCAACTATGGACATCATATTCTGGATATTTTCGAGAAGTTTGTATGTATAACAAATCTTCGAAATGTTAAATATTAAAAGATTAATCCTAATTTATAAATAGTTCACATGTGTTTCGCAGTACGATACTCGCTTGAGAGAGGTAATTTTTCAATCCTGTATTATATGCTTAACATATGCATTAAATTAATCTTGTTTTATCCTCCGCTTTATTAGATTTACTCGAAGAACTTCATAGAAATATTACACAAAACCAACTAATAAATTATAGCATTCTGCGCGTTCAACAAAGTGACATGATTTCTTGGCGGAAAGAAGAAATGGCAAGATTAATTCAACTTGAAAAATCTCAATCGATGATCTTAAACAGTGTTAACGTGATTGAGGTGATCATGTTTTTTCATTCAAGAATATCAAATATTTTATGAATTTTGAATTAAATTCAATATTTAATTGGTAGAAAATTACATCGTTAGCTTCGGTAAACATGGTATCACTTAAAGATAATTTGTCAGACTCACAGGAAATTGTGCAAGGTACATTGAATCAGTTGTCTCAACTTAGAAAGGTAAGCCTAAGTTAATAAAAAAAAAAAGAAATTAAAGCTTGGTAAACGAACGCTAGTTGGTTAATATAAATGATAATTTAGGAACTTGAGGTATATCGATCAAAGACTAGTGAAACTTTCGAAGAAATTAACAGTGCAACAGATCAGCAGTTGATGTCTCTCAAACGAACAATGGTATAAGAATGTATGTTCCTTAGTGTTTTTTTTTTTTTTTTTTTTACTCTAAATCGTTAAAACATATGCTTATAAAGGAATACGTAGAAAGCATCGCCAAAATAAATATTAAGATTTCGGAAGTAAGTTTAAACCAAGTTTTTTAAAGAAATCAAGAGATTATACTGTATAAACGAACCTTTTATTTCTTATAGAATTTACAAAAAATTGACGCTGCGCTTCACAACACATTAACGGCTCAAGAAAAAGTTTATAATATTATAGAAGAATATAAGGTAAAATGAAATCTTAGTTATTTTTATACTTTTATCCATTTTATACTTCATTTATATAAAACTTATGCGGTTTTTTAACATCAGGACCAACATCAAGATTTAGCAAACCAATGGCAAAATTCCTTATTAGAAGCAAAACAAAATTTGCAAATGTTATTAAATATCTCTCAGTCTGAAATTCAATTACTTGCAAAGACTGCAAGTGATGCGCGTGAGAGTCAAGAAAGCATTATTAAGGTTTTAAGGCCTCTAGGTGTTCTTGTTGAATTTATTAGTTGGATATATGGTAAGTTTAGTAAAATCATTTTGAAAATTTTTCTTGTCTAACATTTTTTTTTGTTATAATTTCAGATATCACTTCTATTAAAAATAGTGTGAAATATATAATACCATGGCTGGCTATTCCATTTATTCGATTTCTCGTATCGTGGATGGGATTTGGTAGAATTATGTCAATTGTTGGTATGCCTATATTTCAATTTTTTATCATGTATTTTATCAAAAATTATCATTTATTAACATATAAAATTATTATCGTAAGTTACGGTTTTTAATTTTCTTTTGATATTCCTTTTCAACATGAATAACACCCAATTTCAAAACACACATGTTCATATCGGAGTTTTTGCAATGGTAATAACTTAATTATCAATCTAAAAATACCAATTACAACTCAACATGGCGATATACTAAATTTAAATATTTATGATTGAATAGATGAATTTAGCAATTCTTATTATCACATTCATCCGAAATCGGTTGAATATTGTACAGAGTTCAATACCTCAACTTTCCGCTAATTTACCCATATTGGATTCTAGATCACATCCAGACATCAGGTTCAGTTTTTTCTATTTATTCATTATTTTCAACTAATTTTTTGTCACACTCTACATCTTAATTTCATTTTAAAACATAAAAAAATAGAGTATCACTTCCGAGAACATCATCTACGGATTTTTATCTTGCAGAGCCCGATTATGGTGGGCATAGTTTTAATAACTTAAATGGAAGTTTTTGTAGTAATGGTAGTAGTATGATATATGAATTAAGTCAGGGTTCAGGTGGAAGATTTCCTAGCAAAAGAACGAGAAGGTCCGGAAGAAATTATTTTCCCTAATTTCTTTTCATTTTTAAAAATACATTGAAAAAGTTTTGAGATTTGAAACTCCGGCTCTGTTGTTTATACATAGTACGTAATGTTTAAGTGTTAATAATGTCATTTCGACATACGTACGTGTGCACGTGTGCACAATATGTGGGGGCTCTAAATATATTTGTATTAGGCTAATGAATACTCTAGAAAAAATAAGATTTAGCCTTTAGTTATACAAATAAATGTCAAACTCTTTTCATGTGGAACCGAACTAAATCTGATTTTAGTTTGTCCTATCATAGTATATCGATACTGAATAAATTTGTAGAAGTGATTTTCCTTTATTTTTGGGGATTTCCTCCTTCTTTTCGTAATAAACATATCTTTGAAAATTTGACTGCCAAGATATTACTTTAAGAATAAAGAATTAACACTATGTCGGAGAAAAACTGGTAACCTGTTTTTTATTTTGTTTTTATAACACATTATTGCTGATTAAAATTAAATAACGATAAGAGCTAAATGTAATTCCGATAATCGAAACTTGTTAGGCCACCGTGTTATCCAGTTGTTTATCATAATATTCAGGAAGATATTATTGATTCTGATTCTCGTGATACCGTTCAAAAATCTTACAAGTTATTTCTCGGTATTTATATCATAATTTTTAATATGTTAATTTGCTTTTTTTTTTTATTTCAACCAATTAACTACAAATTATCTAAATTTTTTTTTCTGTGAATACAGTTTATTTTCTCACTTTAATATTCAACTTTATAGCGATCTTAATTACTGGTTTCACTGGTCGTTATTCATTGTAAGCAATATTACAGGTTAATTTTGATTTGAATGTAATTTTACCTTTAACTCTTACGTTCTCTTACGTTTATTTATTATTCATAGTTTCCAAGTCTTTGGTCAACTTCTACTTGCTCTTATTTACGTTGCAATATGGCCATTATTCGATTTCTTTGCTAGACATCTCACTTTGTATAGAGGTTACAAGTAATTAATCTTATCATCTATTGTTTTTCTTACGAGATAAAATAACTTTGTTCTACCATATTAAAATATAAACGTTACTCATCACAGACACGATAATGTAAGCTATTTCCGATGGTTTTTCCTTATAACATTTATTGACATCATTTTCGGTGTATTCATCGGTATTGGTTGGGTTTTTGGAGGTGGTGGTGGATTAATTGAGATGGTCAATAACTTCAATAGAATCAATGATATAGGAGCTATTGTCATTGTAGCTGGTGTTTTTAACGCCGTTTGTGCTACGTTAGTGTTTGCGCAAATTGTTTTACATATTATGTTGTGGCGCAGGGTAATTTTCAGAACTATTTTCATGTTTTTTTTTTTTGGATATTATGACGTTAAATATTCACTTCTATTTTTTTTTTTTTTAATAATACAGGTACAAGCTTACTTCGACTCTAAAGGTTGGAAATTCTTCCCTTCGAAATCATAGTGATTGTTTTTTTTTTCTTAGAAGAAACTATACTTCATGTAGTATATTTCGAAATTATTATTATTATTTTAAAACTATATTTATGTAGTATATCGAAATTATTATTTTAAACTATATTTCATGTAGTATATTCGAAATTATTGTTATTTTATACCAAGATGTTTATGTACTATGTTTGTTATCGAAAGACATTTAAATAAATACAAATATCCAAACAGAAATGTTTTGATACACTATCTATTAATAAATTATAGTCAACTCACAGAGTAGAAAATTGTAACACTTGTCTTTAAGATGTAAATAAGGATGTCGATCGCTAAATTGGCTTGTGAAATTGATTAGACTCGACATTCGAATATATTTTCCTTGTCCTCCGTAATCAGATAACAAGGTTTCTTTTTTGTGGGTCACGACAAAATTTATGAAACATCCACACATACACA